GGTGAGTTTCGCAGCGCCATCAACGATCTTGAGACCATTGATCTCATGATTGTCGATTCCCGTGACATCAACTTGCCGTTGATGGGTGACAGTGACGCGAGCATCCGAACCAAGGATGCCACCATTGGCACCGCGATCCATGAGCGAACCTCGATCAGTCTTGCGGACAATGTTGGTGTTCACGGTGTAGCGGTATATGGTGCGGGGTTGACCATAAGGAACGGAAGACACTGCCGTAGTGGCCTGGTCGTGTGTCCCGGTGTATATTTCGTTTGCCCGTTGTGAGATGGCCTGCAGAGCCGTACGAGGAGTACGGGCCCGGCCTAGGCAAAACCCTGTGTAGGAGAGGGTTTGGAGTTGGAATTCTCGGAAGAGGGGGGAAGAGGAGGGAGAAGAGGAGGAAGAGTCAGATTTCTTATTGCTGGGAGAGCACAGTTCAGTACAGATGTTACTGGTAGAAGGGCAGGTAGCTTTCTTCTTCTTCTTCTTCTTCCGCGTCTTCTTGTTCCCTTTCTTCTTGGAGGTGACTTTGTTCCATGATGGTTGGGGAATCTCGCCTTTGGTATCCGCAACGATGTTGGGGTCAACATGGAGGTTAGGACGCCGGTGAGTCGTGCGTTGTGTCATGGATGATCCTGGCATGGCACGAGTAACAAGAGAAGGCGTTGCACTAGTGTCGGGGATCATGTAGGCGAGATTGAAGTCGTCGTCAGCGGCATCCGGTTGCATATTCGCAATCTTGGGAGTCGCGGGAGGAGAGCTGGATAGCTCGACAGGAGATGTGTCGGCCTGGGTCTCAAAGGAGTTGACCGAGGCAACCGTCAATGTCTGGACTTCTGTCGGAGATTTCGCAGCAGGCTTGTCTGGAGAAATGTCATGAGCGGAATCAGTAGTGTTGACAGATTGCGCGCGGAGGTTCAATGCTGCCTGTTCAGCCAGCGCTTCTTGGAGGATAGTACGGTTGCTGTGAATTGCAGTATCAAAGGCATCATCATCATCGTCCGTGGCAGAGTAGAGACGAGACGCGCGGGGTGTCAGAGCGGGGACATCACTTTCGGTGTATTCGTCATCGTATTCGTGGTCGCTGAGAAATTCCTCGGTGTCGGGTCCGTCGTCATTGTCGGCAGACGGCTGTACAGGAGGTGGAGACTTCAGGTTTGAAGGCATTGTGGGCTCCAGGGAACGTTCATCATCAGTATGGAATCGCTGCTCATCACCGGAGGGATATGCGTCGTGATCACTGAGGATGGTGGTCGCATCGGCGGCGGTGTCGAGTTGCACCGAGAGTCGCTGCTTCATGGGAACAGGGACTTGTACTTGGTGAAATGGGGGGTTCATGTGAGTACGGATGGCATCAGTTCCAGCGGGTGAGGGTTCGGTAGTAGTCGTAGTCACTAGCTGGGGGTTCACGGAAGCTGTCTGTGGTGTTGGAGGTGTACGTCGGGTACCTTGGTACTGGGGTGACATTGGATCGAAATGAGCCAAGGTCGGGGATCCGAATGCGTTGGGATCAAATGGGATGGACTCATCCCAGTAATCGGTGTCAAGCTTCAGGGATAGCCTTGATGCAGCATCGTCTTCACTATCAGTCTTGAATCCGTCATCAATGTCGTCGGCATGCATCTCATGAGAGTATGATTGGTATGCCGATCGGTCAAGTTCATGGTATCGTACTTCATTGCTAAAGGAACGTTGTGAGACGAAGGTTGAGATAGAACATTGGCAATGTTGCCTGACAGAAGGTCGGGTACAGTAGTTGAGTCTTGTACGACATGTGTAGCAAGATGCAAAAGATCCGTGTCCGAAGATACTTTGTTCTTCTTCTCATCCAAGGTGTGAGACGAAACTTCCAGGGCTGGCTTATCATCGTGATCGGGTTCAAAGATCCGGGATTCCTCGATGACGTCATGGACGTTTGCTGAGCGTGTGTCGCGTCGGAATCCAAAATTGCATGAGCCAGATTGATTCGGTTGTGTGTTTCGTTTCGCACGATCGGTTGTGTATTCCAAGATTTTCTTCTTTCCATCATCAGATAGTGTATCTCATGCTTTCTGGTCAGTAGGCATAAGAGATTTCCACGTTGCCACGTTCATCATGACTTTGCGAGGGCCTTGAGAAGGACGATCAAATGGAGAGTGGTGAGAACGGTCTGATTGATGGACCTCAAGTAGTTCATCGACGGTCGTGTCAAAGTCGTGTACATGAGATTCGTATCCATGGTTCTCATTGTCTTGTTCGAAGATGAGCTCATGATTGTATGAGCTTCGTCGTGAGTTTCCTTTGGATCGTGATGTACCAGAGTGAGCTGCGTCGTAGATGGCTGCTAGCAAGAGCAGGCTTGCGGTGTAATCTTCAAAGCTGTAGGTGTCCTCATTCTTGGCTGCGCTACGCGCAAGCATATCTACGCGTCGTGCACCGGATAGGTTGGGGATGCCAGAGACAGCTTGTTCAAGGAACTGTACGAGTTGCCCATCAGAGTACTTGTTGTGCACAGAGGTGCCGTTGTAGATTCGACCTTGTTCCTTGAAGTTCAGAATGAAGTTCTGTTGACTTCCACGCCACGATCCGTCTGATAAATTGGCAGTGGTCAAATAGGTCAAGGTCTTGGATGAACGAATGGTCGCTGTCATCGACGTTTTGTAGTGATTGGACATCTTTTCCCAGAATAGATGAGTTTCACTGTTCTTGAGGTGTTGAGTGAGGAATGATTTTCCAGCTGCGGTCTTGATTGTGTCACAGAGTGTCTTGTACATCCATTCGCGTTGGATGCGATCGAGCGACGGGTTCTCCGCCACGTATCCTTTTTCGAGTAGATGAGACAAACGGTGAGACTTTACAGTGAGTAGGAAATGTTCGCTCCACTTGTGCCAGAACGCTTCGTCACGGAACTCCTTGTAGTCACTGCGAGAGATCTTGACCGTCTTGTTCCAGTGCTCAATCTCTGCTTCGGCGGATACAGGAGCTCGTGTCGAGAGCCACGGGACCACTTCCGCTGATGGATCCCATCATCCGATGTGGAATCATTGGAAGTTAGCGAAACTGATTGACGTGACGTTGATGGATTTGGCTTGCTCTAGACAGAAGTGATGAAAGCAGCAAATCGCAGCAAGGAGTTGTCGCCGTTGACTGAATCCAAGAGGGTGTTCGGCAACGGTTCCAGCGACTGGAACCACGAGAGACTGAATGTCTTTGCGTTCCATCATCATGAGGTCCGAGAAGGTATCGACTCCAAAGTGAGTGAGGGCAAGCATAACATCGTGAGTTTCCCAGTTGGTCTCGTCATTGTTGAGCATGATGGTCACAACATGCTTGAGCTTGTCGCGATCAGCGGTTCGACGGGCAGCGGCGGACATGATTGTGCAGTTGCGTAGGGACGTAACTGCGACTGTTAATCTGATGAAATCCTATTTCATAAGTGATAATCTCCCTTCCTTGGGTTGGCGTCGTAGCGTAGTTAGCTTCGACTAGACCTTTGGAAGACGTGCAATGGCAAACAGTAAAAGAGAATATTATGAGCATTACGATCTATCAAGTCTATTGGGTTTCGTTGTCAAGGTTCGGACTGATAGAAACGGAACGGCGCAAGCCGGCATCGGCTTTTGGTTCAAACATGGCGCCTATTCGACTCGGGTAGGATCGAGACATGAGTGCTAAATGGGACCATGGTGGCTGCATGCATCGTGGACCACAGTGTGGAATATGCTGCGCAGACTATGCGCGCTCTTCCGGTACTCATGAACTCTATCCCTTGACCTCCGACTGGGGTGAGTCACTGGTCTTCTGAGTCGTGGGAGAAAACACCTCGTTAGCAGAGGACCATCTGTTTTGTTGCGTTGTAGTGTGATAGAGATCACATTGTGATTGTGGAGATTGGAGATGGTGTCAACAATACAAAGGTCTTCTGGTTTCAGTATGGATACTTCATGGTCCCTTCCAATCAGATGATAGGTGAAGACATAATTGAGTGCATGGAATTCGGCCGCTTCAGTGGTTCCTAACCAGAAACTGGCATTTGCAATAGCTTTGCTGTCATCATCAGTTGATGCAACCTTGAGAATTGTAATGCGCTGGCCTATTCGTCTTGCCCTTTCCTTGAATTTGGTGAGGAGAAGGTTGCAGAGCTTTCTCCAACTAGGATCACTGAAGACGAGAAGGGGTTGTGCATGACGGAATCTGTTGAGGAAGTACACTTTCACGGCGCTGGCATATCATGTGGCTGAGTCGTAGGCAATGCGACCTTTTTCCTTCTTCAGATACTTGGAAGCATCGAAGGCAATGACATACGCACGTCTATGACGTGGCGCTTTAACGCTAGTTTTAAGTCTAATCTCACAATATTCCGATCGTAGTTCACTCTGAATTCAGAAGCAAGTTCGGTTGGAATTTGCACATCAAGCAAAAGAAACTTCCTGCGTACATTCTACGCAGCCGTATACTAGGCGTTTGGCCATTGTCAAACAATTTCGAAAATTCACTCGATTTCTATTAACAACGGTAACTCAAGGGTGTAACTCAAAACGAAGTTACTCCTTTTTCTTTCATTGTCATTACTTGCGACTCTTACTAACCATAAAGCCGCAAGTATTGTTGTTTGTTATTTACTTTTAGGTTTATTATCTCACCATGACGACGCTTGGTCAGTCGGGCAAGAATCCGGTCATTCCCTTGGTCTCTGAGTATAATGCTGGCGAGGTCGCTACTACCGAGTTGTTCCGTTCTTGGCAACATGCTGGTAACAACGTCAAGCGAAAGCATGACATGATTGTACTGGCAGACGAACAAAGAACCGGAACACGTCCTTCGGGTCATCAAGGAGTTCGATCAAGTGACCGGCAACTCAGCCTTGAATTTGGACACGGGTACATTGAGGGCTAACTTCTTTGTCAAATGTCTTCAAGGCTCTGCTCGAGACAAGTGGAACGTGATTCGAGCAGCGCGTCCTGGTGCAGCTGTTGCTGATTTCGATGCCTGTATTACTTCGTTCATTGCGAAGTTCGTTGAAGACACTGATCTCGCTGATCAGACTCGATACCTGCAGACTGCGACAAAGCCCTTCAAGCTCGATTGCAAGACCTTGTGGTCTCGGTTGGAGTACATCAACACCTTGATGGCGAAGTTTCCTGGCGCAAACAATGCGAACCCTTTTGGTGCTCCTGCTCTCAAGATGATGTTTTACAACATGATGCTTCCCCAGTGGAAAGACAAGTTTGCCGATTCCGCTCATGACATTACGGTAA